CCCCCTCTGTCCCTATCCCCCCCACCTCCATAACCTTCCTCGCTTTGGATGCTGGGTATGGGTTCCAGGACCTGGCTGCCATCACCTAGGCAACAGGGGGCTTTGGTTGCCATGGTGATCAATGTGGGAGAAGCTGGGCAGCCGGGACAAAAGCCCCTACATCCCCCCCAGTCCCCCCTTCTATCCCCTTGGGATGATACTGAGACACATTCCATTAATTTTATTTCTGAAAGGCCTTTGGAAGGGAGAAGGGTCTCCTTTTTGTGACGGGCTCTCCCTTCCCTCCGTCTCTCCTCTCTGGCCTCCTTTTAACCCCAGATAATCCATGGTTGGTTTGAACAGGGGACTGAGTGTGTGTGTTTGTGTCTTGGGGAGCCAGGAGGGAGGCTGGGGGGGCAAGGTGAAAAGCTGTAGGACACTGTTTTTTAAAGCCTTCCCCTACCCCCATGGCTCCCTGCCCTGCACCGAGTCCAGACTTCCCTCCGTGTCTGTCTCCTCTCCTCATTCCTCTGACATCTCCACTTGTTGATCGCATCCAGTGATCCCCTCCCCCACACTCTTCCCTGGGAACGCCGCCCACCCGGGAGACCCTCCAAGCCCCTGATTAAATATGGGCGACTTCTGCCTTGCTTCGCTCCCTCTCATCCCTCCCCCCAGCCCTCCCAACGCTTGGATCAGTTCCCTGGGGTACCCAAAGGGGCAGCAGGCAGAAGGCTCAGAAGTTGGGTTCATCTTTGGCCCCTGTGTTTGGTAGGGGAGAGAGGGGCAGGTTTTGGCGCTTTGGGAGCACCCTGATTTTGGTTGGCAGGGTAGGGAGCAGGGTTTGTGTGGGTCTTAGTATACTAAGTAGCTGGGGGATCTGGGCAGAGCTACTCAGAACAAAGCATTGGGAGGGAGCTGATACCCTTGTCTGGTCTGAAATTTATCTGTAGGGGAAACACAATAGCATCAGCTTACCTCCTGAGTGCGTTTAAAGTGGTGATTTTGGCTGGTGTGTGTGTGTGTGTGTGTGTGTGTGTGTGTGTGTGTGAGACTTTATTTAGTCGTACAAACAGCAGGATTTATTTATACCACCTCTTTCCCTAGTCTCACAGGAAGTGTCTGGGGATTGGAGTATGAGTGACCCTGGAGCTAGAGCTTATTAATTGCTTAACTAATGACTAGCTGAGCAGTTTGTAAAAGCACTTCTCTCACCCCCATGATCCTTACAGCAACCTTGTGAAGTAGTTATCATTTTCTTCCCTATTTTACCAATGAGCCTACCAGGCTACAAGCATAGAGATGTTAAGTAACTTGCCCATGGTCATGCAGCCAGTCAGTGGGAGAGCTAGGTTTTGAACCCAAAGCTTTTCTTTTTTTTTTTTTTTTTTTTGAGTTGGAGTCTCACTCCATCAGCCAGGCTGGAGTGCAGTGGCACACTCACAGCCACCCCAGGATCGACTTGCTGGGCTCCGGCGATCCTTCCCCCTTAGCCTTCCAAGTAGCTGGAACTACAGTTGTGCACTATCACCCCTGGCTAATTTTTGATTTATTGTAGAGATGAAGTCTCGCCAATTTGCCCGGGCTGGTCTCGAACCCACGGGCTCAGGCAATCCTCTCGCCTCGGCCTCCCAAAGTGCTGGGATTACCAGCTGAGCCATCGAGCCCGGCCTGAACCCAGATCTTTAAGTGCACATCCCATGTTCTTTTTGCTTGTGGCTCTGGCAGACGTGGATATTCAGGGTGAGGATGAGGAGATGGAAAGCCTGGGTTCTGGAGTCTGTGTCTAGACTCTAGTTCATGCCAATGCTTTTTCCCTTTACTTTTCTACTCCCCTCAGTCTGTGACCCACTTTCTGTCTTTGAGCTGCCTGGCAAAATTCAGTTTTTAAGAGCAGATTAGAAAGAATAGGCTGGAACCACATCAAGAGAGATGCAGGTGCGTCCTCCCAGCTAAATGGAGGAGTAAACCAGCAGAATGGGTTCTTGGGAGAGGGGGCAGAGTAGCCCAATGTGTAACTTGTGGACAAGGGGACAAACATGAGCCTTTTTTGTGGCAAAGGTTTCCTTTGAAAGGTTTAGAGTTGGCTTAAGGTATTAGATCTCTGTCCCCCTCAGTGTATCCCTATCACACTTTTGCTTTGACATGGGGATATCACTAGCCCACGCATTGCCTCGGTCACTCTGTTAGGAGGATAAATGCATGGAATTCACATCAGTTTCATCTCCCTACAGCTACTGTAGTTTCCCCGAGAGCCAGAGAGGCATACGGTTGTGTACAATGTAGTTAATGACAGATAGCATAGCATGTAGGATGGTGGTCATATGATGATAATATCATATTATCCCATACTTGTACATATATAATATACAGATAGATTATATGCACAAACTGTACTTTTACTAGGTTTAGGTATACAAATACTTACCGTTGTGTTACAGTTGTCTGCAGTCTTACAGTAACGTGCTACACAGGTTTTAGCCCAGGAGCAATAGGCTACAACATGCAGCCTGGGTGTGTAGGGGCTATGCCATCTATGATGTCTGCACAACGACAAAATCGCCTGACACGTTTCTCCGAATGTATCTGGTTGTTAAGCCATGTGTGACTGTGTTCATTTACTAGGTCAGTATCAGTTACTTGCCCTGTGCCCATGGGAGAGAGATGGACACGCTTATGTATCTTATCATATCGCGCACTCTCAAGTCGCTGACAGTTTAGAGTTGTTGGAGAAAAGCTAGCTATATGAAGCAAATCCATTGTAGTTCTTAACCTAACCCACCTCTCAGCAGCGTTTGGCCTAGTTGACTTAATTCCCACCTGGAAACACTCTTACGCTCCTGGCTGCCTCGAGACTCCCCTCTTCCGGCCCTCTTGCTCCTCTGGCCTTCTCAGCCCTTCTGCCTGCTCCTTTCGTCTGACAAGTGCACACACTGGAGTTCTCGGGATCCTCTGTACAGCCCTCTACCTAGGTGATCCCATTCATCCTCATGGCTTTGCACACCCAGTTTAGACTCTTTCCTCAGTCCAACCCCTCTGACACCTGGCTGCCCAGCATCTCACGGCCATGAACTCAGTGTGCTGGACACTGAACTCGTCCTCTCCAAGCTAGCTTCCTATCTTCCCCACCCTCCTAATCACCTAATCACCCCACCCCCTACCACCTGCTCCCTTTCTCAGGTTGGAGATTCTCGGTGTTCCCCTCCCCTCATTAGGACCTGTTGATCTGACCACCCATATGAGTCTCCGACATGACTGTTCTCACCCTTCTGAGGTTCTGCCTCTAGCCAAGCCTGCACTGCTGTAGCAGCCTCCTCACCGATCTCCCTGTTTGTACTTTTTCCTCTTTTGAGTCAATGTCTGCATAGCTAAAATCCTTTGAAGGCTTCCTGTGGCCTTAGGATAAGGCCCCAGCACTTCGCCTGGCCCCTGGCTGTCTCTGCAGCCCCAGCTTCCATCACCCCTCCCTTCCTCAGCTTTGGCTCCACTGGCCTTTGAGTAGGGGAATGGGGAAGGGTTGGCCCTTCCTGGTCTGTGTTTTGGCCATGACACCCCCTCCCCCACAGACGCACACACATACATTCCAGGGTCTTGCTCCCTCTGTCTGTTGCCAGGTTCTGAGTGTATTTTTTCTGGTTCTCTCAATGCACTGAGCTCTCTCCTGCCCTTGGGCTTCCCACGTGCAATTCCTCTGCATTTCCCTCTATGCTTTTCCTGGTTAACTCCTGCTCCTCCTTCAGGCCTCTGCGTAGGTGTCATTTTCTCAGAGGCTTTCCAGAACTACTCAGTTAAAGTAGCCTTTGCTCCCATAGTTTCTTGTTCTCTTCCTTCTATTATGCCTAAAGCTGGTCATTTATGTTTCTCTGCTTGCTCGTTTACTGTGATCTTCCCTGCTATGAACTCAGGGCCTGTTACACCCTTTACACCTGGCAGAGTATAAAGTTCATGGAAGATGCTTAAACAAGATATGTCGAATCCGTGAGTGAAGATAGGGAGTGCTCGGTGCGTGGTGAGGACTATTCATGGAGTCTGGATCAGAGGGGAAGGGAATACTGGGTGCTAGAGTAGGCAGGGGCTGCTGTGAGGGGTGGGGGCTAGCTCTGAAGAATGAGCAGGATTTGGGTGGGACTTGGAGAAGGGGGAGAAGGAGAGGCCATTCTCTGCAGAAGTTGAAGTGTGTTGAAGACGCTGCCCTTCAGCCCCTCCGTGGCCCAATGAGCTCGTGTCTATTTCAGGCCTGTAGGCTTCTGGAGAAGATGGGTTTCTCTTTACCTTCTCCTCCCACCACCCGCCATGCTGTCAGTGGTTTCCACCCCTCACCCCCATCCCCTAGTTTGCATGTGTGGGAGTGTGCACGTGTGCTTATACACACACACACACACACACACACACACACACACACACACACACACACACAGCTTCAAGGAGAGCCCCAACCCGACCTGGCCAGTGACTGTGGGTGTGTTTGCAGTAAATGCTGAGGAGAGGGTGCCAAGAGAAGCAGCCACAGGCAGCCCTGGTGGGCACACTCAGACATGAGTGAGGGAGGAGGCATGGGGGAGGGGGTGGGAGAGGCTTCTGGGGGAGCCAGGTGGAGCATCTGGACAGAAGCCAGCTGCTTTCTCCTCTCTGAGGTCTCCATTGGTTCATTTGCTGGCTTGGCCAGAGCCTGCCACTTCTGAGCCTCAGTTTTCCTGGCTGAGGACAGGTAGGAACTGCCCTAATTCTTCTTTGTAGGGTGTTCTGGGTTGGGTCATTCAGAAGGGGCCTTCCTGCCCTGGAAACTTTTGCTGGCCTCCCTTCCCCCATGCCTGGGTCCATGGCACGGTCTGCGGGGACTCTTTCTAGGAGGCAGGGCAGGAGCAGTTGGGCCCATTGGACAGAGCCAGAACCTGACTGGAAACAGTCTTGGGCAGTGCAAGGTTCATCTGAGCTCCTGTGGCTGCCGTTTGGGGATGATCCTCTCTGCCCTGACCCCAGGGAGCTTCAGCCTCCTCACACCCGCTGCTTCTTCTTGTCAGAAGCGTCGCTTGATTTTCTCTGAGACAAGCCCACTCGTCCAGCAAAATAGAGTCCCTCAGGGTGACGGTTGACTTCCTGAAGGTGCCTCTTGGCCTGAAGAAGCCGGTGCTGAAGGAGGTGGCTGTGGGGCCCCCCAAAAGGCCCCAGCCTGCGGCCCTGGAGCGCTATAAGGCGCGGCGTTCAGACGCCATGGACACCGAGTCCCAGTACTCAGGCTATTCCTACAAGTCGGGCCACTCCCGCAGCTCCCGAAAACACAGGTGGGTGTGCATGTGGGGTAACGGAGATGGTGGAGGGAGGGGCAATTGAGAGGCGGGCACATGCAGGGGTTGTGGGTGGGTGGCTACTGAGAAGATCCTGGTCCTGATAAAAGGACTTGACTGTTCCTCTGGCTTCCTGCTGCAGGGACCGCCGGGACCGACATCGCTCTAAGAGCCGAGATGGGAGCCGTGGGGACAAGTCAGTGACAATCCAGGCTCCAGGGGAGCCCCTGCTGGACAATGAGTCCACGCGAGGGGATGAGAGGGTGAGCATCGGGGGGGATGAAGTGGCCCGGGCCAGGTGTTTTCAGATTGTACCTTGAAGGAGCTGGAGGCTCCATCAGAGATGGGGAAGGCCTGGATGCCTAGCCTCTCCGGACAGAGGCCAGATCAGAGAGGGTTCCTTGTGTTATGCTTCCCTTGGAGTAGAGGGCCTTGTTTCGGTAGAATTCAGGGAATCTCAGTATGATCTCTCTGGAAGCAGCAACCTCTCCAGAGAGGTCAGGGGTGACCTGGGCTGTGTAATGGGGATCGCCCGGTACCTCCTGAGTCGATGCCAGCTAGTCAGGCTGGTTGTGAGTCTGGAGTAGGACGGTAGTGGCAGTGGGTGGGGCCCGGGGGGTGTGTGGGCAAACCCGGGTTTCCCTTGAGCCTTATGGTGTGGGCATTCCTATGCCCTCTGGTGTCAGCTTGTGGAATGACATCACCTAGGTCTTAAGAAAAGGGAGGTTTGGGAAGAGGTTGAGACGGGGAGGGAGAAGAGGGGCTGAGGGATGGAGTGGGCCCTGGGACAGAGTTCTTCTCCAGGACAGGGGTGAGCATATACTCCTGTTCTAACCTCTGGAGCCCACTGTGCTCACCTGGTAAGGCCTGGAACGGGCCGAAGCGGGATTTGCATTGACACTGAGATAGCTCAGGTCTCTTGTTCTTTCTTCTTGGGAACATCTTAGCAAGTTGGAGATTCCCAGCTCTGTTTTCCTCAGAAGAAAGTCTCTGTGGCTGACACTGGGAACTCCTGGGGCTTGGGAGCAGATCAACATCTGAGGGGGATGTTCTTCTCCTTGGGAGCTGAGCTGAGTCCTTGAAGTAACCGGAGGCTCAGCTCATATGTTGCTGGGGAAGAGTTCCCAAGTCCTTGACCTTTGGAGAGGGTAGACAGTATGTCTGGGGGTCAGAGGGTGAGGAGTAGACCCAATTTCTTGAGTCGAAAGTGGCCAGTGTGTCCACTTTCTGTCTTCAAGTCATACTCTTGTCCCATCCTTTGGAGAGGAGATGCCTCAGCCGCCCAAACCCTGGCCCTGCCAGGCTGTCTTCACACTTCTCACCTCCGGTGTGTCAGTCCTGTAGCCTGACCCCCTTGCGTGTAAGGATATGACTCTGTTCCCAGGCTGTCCCAGGAGTGGAGGGTGTGGGCACTGAAGGCCACTGGTGGTCTTGGGACTCATCTGTGGGATGGCCTCCAGCCACTGCAGAGAGACAGTGTGAGCAGACTACACTCAGGAGGGCCCCTGGGAGCCTGGGCCTGCCCACCTCCCCGTGCCTCCAGGGAAAGGCAGCCCTGGTGCTGTGGGCATTCAGATAGCCCAGCAGAACTGGCCTTGCAGGCCAGAGACCCTGCTCTGGTCACCCCTCCCCCTCTGGGGTCATCCTCTCCATGCCCTTTTATCAGGCCACCCCCTGACTCAGAAACCATCTGCTGTCGGCCTCACCTTCCTGGTTGCACCTCCCTCTGCTCCTGCACACGGATCCTCTGCCCTCCTAGTCCTCCGTGTGCCTCTGTTTCATGCCATTCCCGCTCTGAGCACTCCTCCTCTAGCTTCTGCTGAAGTTGTGAAATGGGCCGGGCTTGGTGGCTCAGCCTTACTGTAATCCCAGCACTTTGGGAGGCCGAGGCGAGTGGATTGCCTGAGCCCGCGGGTTCGAGACCAACCCAGGCAACTTGGCGAGACCTTGTCTCTACAATAGATGAAAAATTAGCTGGGTGTGGTAGTGCACGCCTGCAGTTCTGGCTACCTGGAAGGTTGAGATGGAAGGATCACCAGAGCCCAGCAGGTCGACGCTGGGGTGGCCGTGAGAGCGTGCCAGCTTGGGCGACAGAGTGAGACTCCAACTCAAAAGAAAAGAAAAGAAAGGAAATCATGGAATGGTGGAGGGAGCTTAGGGCCATGCAGCTATGACTTCAGTGTTTGAGTGATTGTTAAATGCGGTTCCTGGCTCTGTAAATATGTGATGGGCCCAAGGTTCCGCTTTTCTGACAAGCTCCTAGGTGCTGCACATGGCCCATACCATGCAGAAGTACCTGCAGGTCCACAGATCACATGTGGGGTACCAGCCCCTAGAGGTCATTCTGTTCAGTGATTCTCAGGCTGGATGACTACTGGAATCACCTGGGGAGCTTTTTTAAGGAAAGCTGACAAGCAGATCCAACTTGTCAGCCTTGGTATTATTTTGCAACCTCTCGAGAGGTGGTTCTAATGTGCGCACCTGAGGCTGGGAACCAACAATTCAGCCCAGCTTCCTCCTGTCCCCCACCCCGGGGTCGGCTCAGGACTTGCCATTCCCTGGAGGCTGCCAGCTTTGCCTGGCACGTCTGCCTTCAGGTTCCAGTCCTACCTCAGTGAGGTGGCTCCTGTTCATCTCATGCCATCCGCTCTGAGAGTCACCGAGGCAGAAGCTGTTTTTCCTCTCTGGCTGACCCCTGGACAGCTCCTTCAGGGCCGGGCCTCAGGCCCGGCTGTCCGAAGGGGCCAGACCCGGACACACAGCGGCGCTCAGGAAGTCCATAGATGATTGCGTATTTGATCCCCCTCTTTCCTTCTGCCTTCTCCCTTCTTGCCCTCCTCCTCACCCCCGTTCCCCCTCACCGTGTGGCCCTTCCTGCCTGTAGGATGACAACTGGGGGGAAACGACCACGGTAGTGACGGGCACCTCAGAGCACAGCATCTCCCACGATGACCTCACGCGCATCGCCAAGGACATGGAGGACAGCGTCCCGCTGGACTGCTCCCGCCACCTGGGCGTGGCGGCGGGGGCCACCCTGGCTCTGCTCTCGTTCCTCACGCCGCTGGCCTTCCTGCTGCTGCCCCCGCTGCTGTGGCGGGAGGAGCTGGAGCCGTGCGGGACGGCCTGCGAGGGCCTCTTCATCTCGGTGGCCTTCAAGTTGCTCATCCTGCTGCTGGGCAGCTGGGCGCTGTTCTTCCGCCGGCCCAAGGCGTCGCTGCCGCGCGTCTTCGTGCTGCGCGCGCTGCTCATGGTGCTGGTCTTCCTGCTGGTGGTCTCCTACTGGCTCTTCTACGGCGTGCGCATCCTGGACGCCCGCGAGCGCAGCTACCAGGGCGTGGTGCAGTTCGCCGTGTCGCTGGTGGACGCCCTCCTCTTCGTGCACTACCTGGCGGTGGTCCTGCTGGAGCTGCGCCAGCTCCAGCCGCAGTTCACGCTCAAGGTCGTGCGCTCCACCGACGGGGCCAGCCGCTTTTACAACGTGGGCCACCTCAGGTGCGGGCGTGGGGGACGGCTGCAGGGGAAGGGTTGGGCGGGAGGGGGCATGGGGGGCGGCTGGGGGCTGCGAGGGTGGGAGGGTGTGATGGCGGGGCTGGAGGTGACCGGCTGGGAGGGCTGTGTGGGAAGGAGTTGAGTGCTTTGCACATGGTAGGTTTTCAACGTTTGCTGCTTAACGGGAGGGTCGTGTGCACCCCGTGGGGAAAGATGGGATGGGAGTTATGAGTTGGGATGAACAGGCAATTAGAGATGGGAAATATTAGAGGGGGAAGGACCAGAGGGGAGAAAGGTGGGGCTTCCAGAACAGGGAGGGCTTTGGGGATCCCTTTTCTAGCCCTTTCCTGAGGGAATGGGAAGGGGGGAGTCACTGAAATGAACTGGCTGGAGGAGGGACCCAAGGACGAAGAGTTGAGAGTCCTCAGCTCCTAATAAATAGGGTGCCCTTGCCCCCAAGGCCACACAGAATATCAGTGGCATGTCCTGGGTCCTTTAGAGAATCTTGGGGAGTGCTGGAGGAGGATGAGGTGACCCTTGGCTGGGGACCCAGGCCCAATGCCCTTTCTCCCCTGGGCTTCAGCACAGCAGGGAAGGACTAGCATGCCCAGCCCTGGAAAGGCTTGGGAGCCTGGTAAGTAGACCTCGGGCCCTGAGCCAGGCTTCTTGGAAGCAGCTTGTCCCTGTCCTGTGTCCTCTCCTGCCCTGCCAACCTGCCCTGATGTGTCCCTTCCCCCACACTCCTTGTCTGTCCCTTTTCCCTCCCCCTCCTGCCGTCTCCCCCACAGCATCCAGCGCGTGGCAGTATGGATCCTGGAGAAGTATTACCACGACTTCCCTGTCTACAACCCTGCCCTCCTCAACCTGCCCAAGTCCGTCCTGGCCAAGAAAGTGTCTGGCTTCAAGGTGTATTCCCTCGGAGAGGGTGAGCAGCCCTGCTCCTCCGCCCCTCCTGGCCTCTTCCCAAGCTGGACTCAGAATTACCTGTTCTCTCTCTCTCACCCCTCTTCCCTTTCTTTTCCCTTTCCCTGGCCCATGTCCCAGCCCCCTCTGTTCTGTCATTTCCCTTGACTCCAGGTGGCTGGTCCTAGATGCTGATTCCTCTTGCTGTCCCTTTTTGCTATGGTGTGTCCCTGATCTGGTTCCTCTGTGTCTGCTCATCAGCCCTGGCCTGAGCCCTTTGGCTCTCTGAGCTGCAGAACCTCCTGAATGGGGGAGGACCGTGTGCAAGACTCCTGCCCTTCCAGTCCCTTCCTTGCTGCTTTCTTGTGGCCTCTCCCAGAGGCGGCCAGGAGGGTTGGGAATGAGAGGTGTCGCTGGGTGGCGGGAACAACTTCTTTTGGACATGTCATGCTGCGGTCTCCAGAGCTCCTGGAGTGGGAAGACAAGCCATGCTCCAATGTGACCCTTCTCTCTGTCCTGTTCCTGTGCAGAAAACAGCACCAACAACTCCACCGGCCAATCTCGGGCTGTGATCGCGGCGGCAGCCCGGAGGCGCGACAACAGCCACAATGAGTATTACTACGAAGAGGCTGAACACGAACGGAGGGTGCGCAAGAGGAGGGCCAGGTGGGTCCCGGGGGTGAGCTGAGGAGGGGAAGACCAAGGGACTTCTGTGACTGCTGGGAATATAGAACAGTGATGACATGGGTGGGGTGTGTGCTTTCGTTTCCATTGCTGCCCTAACAGATGATCATAAATTCAGCAGCTGTGGAATGACACAAATTATTGTCTTCCAGTTCTTTTTTGAGTTGGAGTCTCACTCTGTTGCCCAGACTGGAGTGCAGTGGCCGCTCCCAGCCACCGCAACCTTGATCTGCTGGGCTCCGGCGATCCTTATGCCTCAGCCTTCCAAGTAGCTGGAACTAGGTGCGTGCTACCACGCCTGGCTAATTTTTGATTTATTGTAGAGATGAGGTCTCGCCAAGTTGCCCAGGCGGGTCTCAAACCCGCGGGCTCAGGCAATCCACTCACCTCAGCCTCCCAAAGGCACGGGATTACAGGCTGAGCCACCGAGCCCGGCTGTCTTCCAGTTCTTGGGTCAGGTGCAGGCTGGCTGGGTGCGGTGCTCTGGCCTCATAGGCTGAAATCAAGACAACTCTCATCTGAGCGTGGGCTTCTCTTGCAAGCTCACTGTTATTGGCGGAATTCAATTCTTTGTCACGTGGCCCTTTACAACATGGCAGTTCGCTTTTCCCAGCAGGAATAGGTCTCTGTCTCTGACTTCTACAGCCAGCTGGAGAAAACTCTGCTTTTAAAGAGCTTATGTGGTTAGATCAGACCAGACAGGATAATCTCCTTTTAAGGTCACTTTCTTGGCATGTTAATTATATTTGCAAAATGTGTCAGGTTGTTGAATAATGAGGGGATGGGAATCTGGTAGAAGTGGAGAGGGGCATCTTTGAATTCTGCCTACCACAATGGGTAGGGACCCAGTAAAGGGATGTGAGCGTCACCCTCAGCAGCAGGGACTAAGGCTAGACCAGACCTCTTGCCAGAAGATCTTTAAGGCTTGCTCAGCAGATGGTGCCTTTTTTTTGCCTGCAAAAAATGAGGGTCTAGTTACCCATTTTGGTGCGTTTTTTTTTTTTTGAACTGGGGTCTTACTCTGTCACCAGGCTGGAGTGTGGTGGCACCATCATGGCTCACCACAGCCTCAATCTCATGGGCTCAAGTGTTCCTTTCGACTCAGCCTTCTAAATAGCTGGGACTACAGGTGTGTACCACCATGCCCAGCTAATTTTTTGACTTATTTTGTAGAGCCAGGGTCTACTATGTTGCCCAGGCTGGTCTTGAACACCTGGGCTCAAGCAGTCCTCCTGCCTTGGCCTCCCAAAGTGCTGGGATTACAGACGTGAGCCATTACGCCCGGACCCATACTGGTAAATTCTTTTTTTTGTTGTTTTTTGAGTCAGAGTCTCTGTCACCCAGGCTGGAGGGCAATGGCATACTCCTGGCCTCCACAGCCTCGACCTGCTGGGCTCAGGCAATCCTTCCGCCTCAGCCTTTCAAGTAGCTGGAACTACAGGCATGTGCCACCATGCCTGGCTAATTTTTTGATTTATTGTAGAGATGAGGTCTCGCCAAGTTGCCCAGGCTGGTCTCGAACCCGTGGGTTCAGGCAATCCTCTCACCTTGGCCTCCCAAAGTACTGGGATTCTAGGCATGAGCCACCATGCCCAGCCAGTAAATTCTTAAATGCTGTCCTCACTCTTCCCTTTTCCCTGTTCACATGATTCTGTGAACTTAAGTCATGCCTAAAGAATCTTTTTTGGTGCCTACTGCTGCCAGGTCCCACCTTGGTCTATCAGGATTTCCCCAGGGAGGAGCAGAGTGCCTGAGGCTTGACCATGCACCTACCCTCTGCCCCTCCTCCCGCACTATCTGCAGGCTTCTAGGGCAGGAGGTAGCTCTTACTCTGTTCTTACATGAGGTTAGTGTCTCTGTGGTAGAACAGAGATCACCAATCCCATTTCTGTGGCATTCCAGCCTATCTCAGAAATGACCCTCATAGGAAGGAAACCAGTGATGTCCCCTGCTCCTTTACCTTCTGCCCTGACCAGGATCTTTGTATCTTCTCTGCTGCCACCACCATTGTTGGCACATAGGGGGCTCTTTCCTTCCCTGATGACCTTTCAACACGTCTTTCAAAAGGAACTTTTTCAAAAGGAACTTTACTGAGTAACATGGGGGAAGAAAGAGAATAAGCAGAGAAACTGTAGACATACACAGATCCACACATACTTAGCCCAGAGACCCGTCCTACACTGACTGACGTCCCCAGGCTCTTGGGTGTCCACGTACTGGGCCACAGGCCTTACTTCCTTTCTCTGTCCTGTCACCTCAGGCTGGTCCTGCTCTTGGGCCAGGTGGGTTTTATTTTGGCTTTTGGTCTTCAAGTGCAGAGAATTGCATTAATCACCCTTTTCAGCTCTTGACATGTTGTCATTATAGGATGGGGAAACCCAAAGAAACCTGGAATTTATTTATAAAAAACTATGAATTTATTCTTGCATGTTTTACCTCCAGTCATCTTCAAAGTACTCTCCGTTTGATGCAACACACCTATCAAGATGCTTTTCCCACTGTTCAAAATCGTTTTGGAACTTGCCAGTTTTGATGCCTTTTAGTGCTTCTGCCGTTTTTTATTTCATTTCTTCTACATTGGTGAAATGTTTCCCTTTGAGCATTATTTTCATCCAGGAAACAAAAAAGAAGTTGTTTTGTGCGAGATTGAGTAAATAGGGAGCGTGAGGCACAGGGGTCATGTTGTTTTTGGTCAAAAACTGCTGAAGCCGGGCTCGGTCGCTCAGCCTGTAATCCTGCACTTTGGGAGACTGAGGTGAGTGGATTGCCTGAGCCCATGGGTTTGAGACCCGCCTGGGCAACTTGGCAAGACCTCATCTCTATGATAAGTCAAAAATTAGCCAGGTGTGGTAGCATGCGGCTGTAGTTCCAGCTACTTGGAAGGCTGAGGCGGAAGGATCGCCAGAGCCCACCAGGTCGAGGCTGCAGTGGCCAGGAGCGGCCACGGCACTCCAATCTGGATGACAGAGTGAGACTCCAACTCAAAAAAAAAAAAAATTTAAAAACAAACAAACAAACAAAACGCTGCTGAACACTCAGTGCAATGTGGGCAGGTGTGCTCCTCAATCAGCCATCATGAAATAGGCAGACGTGTTGAAAGAATCTCCAAAAAATTTTCACCTAAGCTGAGCACAGCCTCTCACAACAACACCAGCTGGTGCACTGATGCCAATGGATTCCTAGAACACTCACCTGGAGGGGAAGCCTGTACTACAAGGGGCCCACCCTCCAAAAGATGATTCTGGTGTTTTTTGGGTCCCCACCTCATGGGGTTCTTCATGATTCTTTATTTTCCCTTTTCTGTCTTCACTCCACCCCCACATTTTAGGCACCCAGTTCAGTGTGTCGGGTTTCCTTAAAACTCTTATGTATCCTTGCACAGATTTAGTGTTGATGTGTGTGTCTGTGTGCTTTTGATGTAAACTGACTTATTTTTCCTGCATCCTCCTTAACCTTGTGCTTTTGAGACTCAGCCACATTGTCTGTGTATCCAGTTTGTTACATCTTTTCACTGCATAGCAGTCCTTAGACTACTCCCAGCATTCTAGCCTGCTTTTTATAGTCATCTTTCTGCCTTTTAAAACATTTTGGTGGGCACACAGTGTCTTTAACTTTTTTTTTTAACTTTTATTCTTTTGAGTCTGAGTCTCACTTTGTCACTGAGGCTGGAGTGCAGTGGCACAATCATGGCTCACCACAGCCTCGATATCCTGGGCTCAAGTGATCCTTCTGCTTCCTGAGTAGCTGGGACTACAGGCGCTCGCCACCATGCCTGGCTAATTTTTGTGTGTGTGTGTAGAAATAGAGTCTTGCTATGTTGCCCAGGCTGTTCTTGATCTCCTGGGCTCAAGCAATCCTTCCTTCTTGGCCTCTCAAAGTCCTGGGATTACAGGTGTGAGCCACCCTGCCCAGTTTAGTGTCTTATTAACATTTTAATTTGCATCTTTCTAATTGCTAGCTGGTTACTGCTTTGTATATTTTTTAGCCTTTTAGGCCTCTTGTGAATTTTCTGTTCCTCGCCTTCACCCATATTTCTATAGAGTTCTTGCTTTTTCTTCTTGATAAAAATCGTAGTGTATTCTTTGCATGTTCTCAATGTTATTCTTTGTTGGTTTCTGGATGTAGCATACATTTTCCTCCCCTCCCATCAGATGTCAGTTAACGTTGCCCATGCTCTCATGGTCAAATAGAAGTCTGTCATTTTGCTGTAACCACATCTATTAATTTTTGAGCTGATGTGGTATGATTTGGGGTCTTACTTGAGAAGGCTTTTCCTAGGGTTGGTTGGAATGCCTGGTATTTCCTTCAGTACAGTTCCTCGTCTGCCTCTCTGAATTTTACACTGGATTTGTCTTCTTTGAGTCCCTGGGCTGGGCTTACTGAGCACTACGGCTGTTTCCTGGTCCTAGGGGCGGGGGGGGGGGGGCGGTGGATGCCCTACCGCTCCTAGGTTTGTATTGCTTTGGAGAGCACAGAGGCCTGACCTCACTCAAGCTGCTGGAGGCTTGGACCTGGGAGTGGGGATGGGATGGGGTGGGGAGGAGAGCGGTGGGCATCTGGGCCAGACCCCTCCTGTCTCCTAGGCTCGTGGTGGCAGTGGAGGAGGCCTTCACTCACATTAAGCGGCTGCAGGAAGAAGAGCAGAAGAACCCCAGGGAGGTGATGGACCCCCGGGAGGCGGCCCAGGCCATCTTCGCATCTATGGCCCGTGCCATGCAGAAGTACCTCCGGACCACCAAGCAGCAGCCTTACCATACCATGGAGAGCATCCTGCAGCATCTGGAATTCTGCATCACCCACGACATGACACCCAAGGTGGGCCGGCCCTGCTCCCAGGATCATTCCACTCTCCTACCTCCATCTTTCCATAGGCTCTCACTTCGTCTTTACTCTTCACCTCGTCTCTCTCATCTCCTAATCTCTTCTTTCACCCCTACCCATCCACCCTGTCTGCATGGGTGAAGTGCTTAGGTGCGTGGGGAGAAGGGGACTTTGGGACCACTTGGAGGATGGCTGAGACCTGTTTCTTGCCTCTAAGGGCTCTGGGATTTCCAGATCCACAGTCCCACCTTCAATCCCTTCACCTCCACTAGATGGCTTTTGCTCTGTGCTCATTTGGGGCCACTGCCCTCCCCTCCCCTCCATGGTCAGCTCCTAGACTTGCTTTCCCGGGGCCGCCCTTGGTGAGTGGGTAACTACTGGTGTTGCGCTTTAACCTAACACTGCTGGCTCCTTCCTGGTGCAGACCTGCTCAGCATAGTCATTCCAGCCGTGTGGGAAGGCAGGAAGAATGCGAGAGGGCATGTCCGGATCCTAACCCGGTGCAGGGAGAAGAACAGAAGATGGGGAGGAGATGGACAGGGTCAAGGGAGCTGAGTTTAGTTCTGACTGATGGGCTGCAGCCCCTTGATGGGCTCCAGCTTTTTCATTTATTTTGATTTTTTACTTATTTTTTGCGCCAGGCTCTCACTCTGCCACTCAGACTAGAGTGCAGTGGCACGATCATGGCTCACCACAGCATTGAACTCCCAAGCTGAAGTAATCCTCCTTCCTCAGCCACCTGAGTTGCTTGGACTACAGGTGCTCACTACCACTCCTGGCTATTTTTTTCTATTTGAAATTTTTATTTTTGATTTTTATAGAGACAAGGACACGTTGTTGCCCAGGCTGGTCTTGAACTCCTGGGCTCGATCAGTCTGCTTTCTCATTTAAAAAAAGGAAGCCTTGAAGCAGGTTATCCCAGGCCCCTTCCCTCTCTAACATTCGAAGGTTGGTATGCATGGAGTGAGCTCAGGGACCTCTTGGTTGTCTTTGGAAGCTGAGCCCCAGGGGATGAAGGACAGTGGGTGGCTGAGAGCGGGTCCCACACAGCCCTTTGTCCCTCCTCAGGCCTTCCTGGAGCGGTACCTGGCAGCTGGACCCACCATCCAGTACCACAAGGAACGCTGGCTGGCCAAGCAGTGGACACTGGTGAGCGAGGAGCCAGTGACCAACGGGCTCAAGGATGGCATCGTTTTTCTCCTAAAACGCCAGGACTTCAGCCTGGTGGTCAGCACCAAGAAGGTCCCATTCTTCAAACTCTCAGAGGAATTTGTGGATCCCAAGTCACACAAGTTTGTCATGAGGCTGCAGTCTGAGACCTCCGTGTGACTGTGCAACAGCAGGGGGAGTGAGACACTCTGGGGGCTTCTGGGGGGCGGTGGGGGCTTGGTCCTCAGGCCCAGCTACATTCCTGCCACCCTTCCTCCTCTTGCTCTTGGTTTTTTTACTTGAATTGACTCGCCCCCACCCACTCCCCAGCTTCCTTAGATTACCCCATGTGAACCTGGAGAGACCGTCCTGCTGTCCACAGTACCCGGGAAATCCCCTCCCCCAGGCCCTGCAGGAACCAGTGCCTCTCTCCTTTCCCCTGACCTTTCCCTAGATGATGACGGTCTCTTCTGAAAGGGCACAGGGCCCTGCTGATTGTACCATCCCCTCTGGAGCCCACTCACAGACCCAAGTTCTTGTAGCATTTCTCCCCAGTGGCCCTGAGGGGGTTTCTTTGGGGGGCACAGATAGGACCCCAGAGAGCCACAGTGCCAAACTCCTCCTGTCCCTCACCAGACTTGTGGCAAGGACATTCTTGCCACACAGCTCGAGTTAGAACTCTCCCTCCAGGGTCATAGCTTCCAGCTGGTAGAGCCTCCCTCCTTCATCCGCACATATTTAGAGCAAAGAAAGATGCCATCCTTCTCCCAGGAACCTCCACCTTCTGTTTCTGATGTGTGTTGCCACGCAGCCGTAGGCATGTGGAGGTGGAAAGCCTACGTGTCCACTTTCCTGGGGCTTGGGGGAAGGCACCTGCCTTCCAGAGTGTCTTCCCTAGGCATCCGCTGAGGGGAAGGGCAGAAGAGATCCCTGAGGTTTTGGAGAGCCCCATCACTGATCCCTGCCCTCTGACCTGACCTCCCCTTCATCCCCGCCCTTTTCAGTGAAGGATGGCATGCAGACTCCTGTATAGACTTTGCGGCTTGCAGACCCTGGCCCAGCCCCTGTGGTCTTGGACAAACGTTTTTCTTTCTGTTACCAGCCACTCCCTGTCCTGCTGTCTTTTCTCGACTTGAGCCCTGTTGCCTCATCTCGTTTGGGGACGAGCCAGCAGCTCCTCCTCATCCCCTGCCTTAAGTCCAGTTCTTTGCCTCAGGGGTCTCTCTTCCTTGGCCTTCCAGGGCCCCCACCTCTTCTCTCCCCACCTGATTCTGTGAGCTCTGGGTTCCCTCTGTATTGGGGTGAGGGACTGGGATTACTGCCTTCTGTGGGTACTTAGCCCCTCACCCGATTTTAGCTTCTATAGTCTTTGCACCGAATTCAAATTCCTGAGAATTTAGATCTCATTTTGAGCAAAATTTGCTGGCTCTCTAATACATATTTTCAGTATAAATCTGAGCCTTTGAACCAGATACCTTTAAATTATGTAGTTTTTGCCAAGGAAACTAGAAATCAAAAGCACCCATATCCATCCAGCCAGGATCCACGCGGGGTCCGTTCTGATGGCTGGCTTGGAGCATGGCCCTGGGCATCTTCTGAGTAACTCATATTGTCCCTTGAGTGGCCCTTGTTTCTCCTGGAAAACCTATTGGTGTTTGTCTTGCAGAGCACATCCTGGGAGAAGATCCCGGTGATCTCTCACCTGAGGGTTGTCTCTGTGTGGTGGCAGCCCTGGGCATGAGGGAGCTTAGAGTTCAGTTTTTCTCCTCTGTACTGTCCACTGGCCACTTACTAGAGAGGGACTCATTGGCTAGTGCTTACCTTGTCTTTTGCAAGGGTGAGTTCTGGGGCTGATGTATGCAGGGCCTCTGGCTGAGACTGGGGGCCATGGGACAGGCCTGTGTGAAATGCATCCTGTTCTGGGGGTCCCGAGAAGGTATTTTTTCTTCTCTTCAGAAACCTGGTGTCAGGGGTGTACCTTCTGGGTCACATAAATACCTCACTATCCTGGAAAACAGGGCCCGGATGGTGACTGGGGTCATTACCTTTGTGGGCAGGTGGGGTGTGGTGTGGTTTGAGGAGCAGGTTGGGGTGGGAAGAAGGAAATTATTTGGGATCGTAGTTGCTGTCCCAGGTTAGGGGTGGGGAGTGTTTATTTTAAGAACCTGCCATGTTTTTAATCACTGTGATTTTTTTTTCATTCCCTTTTCCCAAAACAAAAAATTTTTTTTTTCCCTTCAACTCTCTCTGTAAGCACTAAGGGCTGTGACTGAGAATGGTAGCATTTTGGTCCTTTGCCTCAGAACTGTGGTATCTTTGTCTTCTTTTATTATTATTATTATTGTTATTATTTTTTAAAGTGTCAGGATGAGTTGTCAAGCGTATGGCTGTGTGTTTGTCTCCGGCTTCTCCTCCGTGGGAAGTTGTCTCCATGCTGTGAACCGCTGTGGGGCGTGCAACTCTCTCGGGCCCTCGGAGCAGTTTCCCCACGACGCCCTGTCGCCCCACGTGCTGGGTCCTCTCATTCTCCTGCTGCGGGGGCATGCCCACCGTCGCCCCTGCCACCACAGGGCTGTGTGCCTGGGCCTCCCCAGCATCTTCTGCGACTCACGGCATCTCGCCCATCCCCATGTGCCTGCCAGGCCTTCCTTCTCATCATCTGGGAACACTCAACCTCCTTCCACACCAGGACACTGTGCCTCAGTCCTTCACCTACCTCGCCACTGTTCCCGCTGGTTGCTCTCCCCTCACTTAGTCTTTGTGCTCTCTGTGTCTATTCTTGTTTCTGCCCCTCGAGTCTCTCATTTTTTCTTCCCACCCCCTCCATTTCAGCCCTTCCTTTTTCACTTCTGCATCCCCAGTCAGTATTCCCATTACAAACCCTCATACAACACCTGTGATGAGACCCGGAACCTTCTCATCTGGAGCGTCTGTTTCCCAGGGCTTGCGCTTCTCGCCTTCTCTGTAGGGCCCAGATGAGCTCCCTTGCCCCTCTGTGGTGTCTGTCATTCTGTCTGTATGCTCCTTTCACTGCCCTTCCCAAGGGGCAGCATCTGCTGACGGATTCAGTCCTGGTGTGCGATTGTTGTGATTTGTTCTGTGCGCAAAAGGAATGGGCTTTTCAGTCCCTTCCAAGTGAGATTGTAAATGTAGAATCTTCCACTGTTGGATCTAGATTTTTTTTTTCTTTTTTCTTTTGGGTTACAGAGCTGAGACCCTGTGCATGCATGTAGAAAATTGTAAAATGTAAATTTTTTTTAATATATAAAAAGCTTGTTTTTACAGTTTGCAGTGGATCTAAACATTATGGCGATTTTAGGGATTTTTTTTCTTAAACATAGGAACTAAAACTGTACAAATTTTTTTTATATAAAATAAAGACATTTGACTTTTGTGGGGGCATTCTGTTGTCTTTCTTTCTTTCCTTCCTTCTTTCTTTCTTTCTTTCTTTCTTTCTTTCTTTCTTTCTTTCTTTCTTTTCTTTCTTTTTCTTTCTTTCTTCTCTTTAAAACAGGAATGGGAGCAAGAGTGTTTGGGAGGAGTGAATATATGCTCTTATTAGGGAGTGAACGGGCCAGGAGGGGGCAGTGTGAGCTCATCACCACTCTGCAGGTCCTCAGAATGCATCGGAGAAAAGTGGGGAAATGAAGAAATTGCTTATTTTGAACCCTGGTTCTGAGGAGAGAGAAACGTAGGAATGTGAGGACCCAGCTGCTCCCTGTGGTGGGTATCAGGATAAGGAGGAAAGAAAGATGACTTTCTGGGCATATCCGCCAGAGCAGGTTTGTGTCTGTGTGGCCTCTACGTAGGGGGCAGGGTGGGTTTCCAAAACATCTTCCTAAAACAGAAAGTGCCATGGGACTGTCAAGGACTAGTTGAGATTTCAGTCAATGGTAACAGCTCATCATATTTCACTGAGAAAAGTTTCTGAAGTATATCTCTTAACTCCAAATATACGCAGAGTCCACTGCTTAGTTGTCACTGTGGTGCTTATAATCAAGCACTGGAATCATCCCTGAGATCAGGGCCCTCCCTTCTCCAGCCTTGCCCAGATCCGACCTTCTCTGTGACATGGGGCAAGATGCTTAGCACATACATAGCCTTTTAAGGTTAAAAATGGACTCTCCTCGTGACATAGTCACTGGATTTACTCCTCCTTTCCCCTGCCTCATACTTGGTCAGACTTCAGGGATGCAAAGTCAACGGAGGCGCCTCCGTCCTTGTCCTGGAGGATGACCCAGTCTATGGAGGTGACAGGCCAGGTAACCCGGTGCAAAGCCACACATCGTCCTCAAGCAGAGTGCAAACAAGCCCTGGCTGGATTCCAAGGTACTGGGGAGCTTTCCTTCTTCAAGAAGTTTAAGGAGTTCGTTTAAGACTCGTGAGAGGGTGAAATGATCTCCTTGACATTAGATTTTATTTGTCTAAGCATTTTTAGACTAATAAATCAACACCAGTCCCTCACATAGAGTTGGTGCTTAATTAAAGATTATTGAATGAAGTTAACACAATAGGGCATATGAAGGGGGTCATACACTCTCCTCTTTAAAATTGCACTCATGCCTTTCTCTTGTGAAAACAAAAACATTTCCCTTGAAACTGCAGCTCCTGTTCCCACGGCTCTGTTCTTTTGTAACCAGCTTGTGGAAGAACAGTTTCATCTGCTGCTTTCAGTTCACTTCAGAGTCAACTTATGACTTATGATGACTACATTTTTATCCTAGCATGCTTGCTTGCTCATAATGGTCAAGTATAACAAACATCTGTGCGTTTAGAAAGCATTCAGTGTCAGTGATGTTCCCAGCCTGGTACTAAAGTGCTTTGACTGGTAAGAGTATTAGATATGGTCCTGCCCTCACTGAGCTAACCTTTGTGGACCTCTGAGGAGTCTATTTAATTTCACGAACCTCTCACCCTGCTGCTGACCCCACGGGTTCAAAGACTCAGGGCCAGATCTCAGTATTTGATCAATGGGATTATATTTTCTCTCTTTTCTGCAAGCAAACTGTTTGCCATGTAATCAAGGGTATTTGTAACTTGTAGATGAAAGGATGCTTTTTCCATGGGAGCACTTCACAGATTGCTGGAGCAAAGGGACTCAGCTTGGCGGATTGTCAGGCTCATGCCTGCGACTTCTTGATGTTATGTATGATCACATACATGCTGCACAAGTGTGATTTTTTCCCCCTAGCCTTTGCCTTTGAAATACAGCCACAACAGAGGGGACTGGGGCCGGGCCTCTGGATGAGGAGACAGAAGGATCTCTAGACCCTAGTGATTCGTTATTAGCTTTTTTTGTTTTGGGGTAGTTTAATGGACTACAGAATCGAAAGCCAGCTGCTTAAGATAACCTCAGGCTCTTCATATGTTAGTTTAAGAACATGATAGAAATGCTCTTCCGATTCCTGGGAAGGC